GATGGTGGTGGAAAAGATCACACAAGATTGGGTCACAGAGATGTGTCAGCTTCATGATTAAGTATGTTGTCCTGAACGGGCCCAGGTTCTTTGCACAGAGAAGAAACCCTGCTCCACAGTCCTGCACCAAACATTGTCGTGAGCATCTGTCCTGGACCATGAGACTTAAGTCATCTGTCATTGCCACTAGAAAAAATGAAGCCACATTCCATGGACCCAGCAAACAGCAAGATGTTGTATGAAGTAGACAGAACTAAGACCCAGGAGGCTTCCTTCTAGTTGGAGCTGTAAACCTTCACTTCCTGGCTGGCCCATCCATCCTTACTGGTCTCAGCTCTCTTAACAGGACAGTTTCTAAGGTACCAGAAACTCTAATACAACAATACTTTTATAAAAGTTAAAAATATCAAGAAACAGATCAACCAGCATTTTAATAAGATGTTCTAAATTCACAAGTCAACCTCTTAGCCGAAGAAAGCTCAGGTTTAAAACTCCACCAGTAAATATTCAAACATGGATGTGAGAGTTGGACCATAAAAAAGGCTCAGTGCAGAAGAATTGATGCTTTTGAACTGTGGTGTTGGAGAAGACTCTTGATCAGTGTCCCTTGGATGGCAAGGATATCGAACCAGCTGGAAAAGACCCTGATGCTGGGAAAGACTGAAGGAGGGAGGAGACGGGGATGACAGAAGATGAGATGGTTGGATGGCATCACCGACTCAATGGACATGAGTTTGAGTAAACTCCAGGAGTTGGTGATGGACAGGAAGGCCTGGCATGCTACAGTCCATGAGGTCACAGAGTCAGATATGACTGAGTGACTGAACTGAACCCTCAGCACTAAGAAAAAATGAAATGATGCTTGCTATACTCTTACTAAGGCAAAGAAACAATTTGTGACTATGACCATTTAAACATCTAAAAAATAAACTTTTGTTAGAAAAAAAAAAAAAACCAAAAACCTAGAATCAACCCGCTATAAAAACCTACTGTTTTTCAGAGAGTGGGTCAGTAACATGTTTCTACACAGAGAAGAGAGAAAGTGAGAAGGAAAGCCTACTTTGTGAACAAGCTTCAACTGCTGTTATTTCCTCTATAAGAACAATGGAAAAATAAAAACCAGGTGTAAATTTCATCTAACAACTGTGAAGGACCCAGAATATTGCTGCACTTAGGAAGAGGCCACTAAAGGGGATGTACCTTGGTATAGCCACCACAAAAAACAGTTTAGAGACTGCTCAGAATACTAACACCAGATTTGCCATAGGATCCAGCAATATCACTTCTGGGCATGTATCTGGACAAAACTATAATTCAAAAAGATACAGGCACCCGACATTCATAGCAGCACAATTCGTAATAGCCAAGACATGGAAGCAACCTAAACGGCCACTGACAGATGAATGGGAAAAGAGGAGGTGCTACGTCCATGCAATGGAATACTACGCAGCTATGAAAAGCACGTAACGATGCCATCTGCAGCAACATGGATGGGCCTAGAGATGATCACATTAAGTGAAATAAGGCAGAAAGAGAAAGACAAATAAATACCACATGGTATCACTTACCTGTGGAATCTGAAATATAACACAAATGAACTTAACTATGAAACAGACTCAGAGAACAGACGTGTGGCTAACAAGGTGAGGGGAAAGGGGGGAGGAATGGATTGGGAGTTTGGGAATAGCAGATGCAAACTATTATATATAGACTGGATAAACAAGAAAGTCCTTCTGTATAGCACAGGGAACTATATTCACTATCTTGTGCTAAACCATAATGGAAAAAGGATGCATATGTATGTATAACACTTTGCTATACAGCAGAAATTAACCCAACATTGTAAATCAAGTACACCTAAATAAATCTCAAAATTAAAAAAAAAATTTTAATTAAAAAAATTAAAATTAAAAAAGAAAAAGAAAGATGCCACCTGGCTAGAATGAAAGGAAACACTGCCTAAATGGAAATCCATTTTAAGTTTAAAAATTTGGTTAGACTGAGAAGATTCTGACTGTATCTATGTAATGTAAAATTCACAAAACCATTTTTCTATCAAAATATTTAATTATACACTCTGCCTCAGCATGTACAGCTGAAGGAAATAATTACATTTGTTCTGTGGGAGAAGAACAGAGGAAGCAGTTATTCTGACCTGGAGGTCACTAGTCCAAATCCAAAAAATCCTGAACCCTCTGGACTTCCTGGAGTCCTCAGATGTGCCTGTATGCTTTCACGAAAAACCAACAATAACGAGCAAACCGTTCTTCTGAGCGCATGTGTCTTCCAAAGCTGAAAACTCTTTCAAGACTGTGTCACAATAGCACCAATACGCCAAGTAAACAGTCTTCCTCGGAAGCTCTTTGATATGACTGAGTGACTGAACTGAACCCTCAGCACTAAGAAAAAATGAAATGATGCTTGCTATACTCTTACTAAGGCAAAGAAACAATTTGTGACTATGACCATTTAAACATCTAAAAAATAAACTTTTGTTAGAAAAAAAAAAAAAACCAAAAACCTAGAATCAACCCGCTATAAAAACCTACTGTTTTTCAGAGAGTGGGTCAGTAACATGTTTCTACACAGAGAAGAGAGAAAGTGAGAAGGAAAGCCTACTTTGTGAACAAGCTTCAACTGCTGTTATTTCCTCTATAAGAACAATGGAAAAATAAAAACCAGGTGTAAATTTCATCTAACAACTGTGAAGGACCCAGAATATTGCTGCACTTAGGAAGAGGCCACTAAAGGGGATGTACCTTGGTATAGCCACCACAAAAAAACAGTTTAGAGACTGCTCAGAATACTAACACCAGATTTGCCATAGGATCCAGCAATATCACTTCTGGGCATGTATCTGGACAAAACTATAATTCAAAAAGATACAGGCACCCGACATTCATAGCAGCACAATTCGTAATAGCCAAGACATGGAAGCAACCTAAACGGCCACTGACAGATGAATGGGAAAAGAGGAGGTGCTACGTCCATGCAATGGAATACTACGCAGCTATGAAAAGCACGTAACGATGCCATCTGCAGCAACATGGATGGGCCTAGAGATGATCACATTAAGTGAAATAAGGCAGAAAGAGAAAGACAAATAAATACCACATGGTATCACTTACCTGTGGAATCTGAAATATAACACAAATGAACTTAACTATGAAACAGACTCAGAGAACAGACGTGTGGCTAACAAGGTGAGGGGAAAGGGGGGAGGAATGGATTGGGAGTTTGGGAATAGCAGATGCAAACTATTATATATAGACTGGATAAACAAGAAAGTCCTTCTGTATAGCACAGGGAACTATATTCACTATCTTGTGCTAAACCATAATGGAAAAAGGATGCATATGTATGTATAACACTTTGCTATACAGCAGAAATTAACCCAACATTGTAAATCAAGTACACCTAAATAAATCTCAAAATTAAAAAAAAAATTTTAATTAAAAAAATTAAAATTAAAAAAGAAAAAGAAAGATGCCACCTGGCTAGAATGAAAGGAAACACTGCCTAAATGGAAATCCATTTTAAGTTTAAAAATTTGGTTAGACTGAGAAGATTCTGACTGTATCTATGTAATGTAAAATTCACAAAACCATTTTTCTATCAAAATATTTAATTATACACTCTGCCTCAGCATGTACAGCTGAAGGAAATAATTACATTTGTTCTGTGGGAGAAGAACAGAGGAAGCAGTTATTCTGACCTGGAGGTCACTAGTCCAAATCCAAAAAATCCTGAACCCTCTGGACTTCCTGGAGTCCTCAGATGTGCCTGTACGCTTTCACGAAAAACCAACAATAACGAGCAAACCGTTCTTCTGAGCGCATGTGTCTTCCAAAGCTGAAAACTCTTTCAAGACTGTGTCACAATAGCACCAATACGCCAAGTAAACAGTCTTCCTCGGAAGCTCTTTCCCTTGGGTCTCCAAGTCAGGAGGAAGGGTCTCTCCTGCAGCCCCCCTCACCACAGGATCCCTGGGCCTCCAGCTGGCAGGGCACCGGCAGGACCCACAGCCGAGGGTTCACATAAGCTGACCCGGCCAGGCTACACTCTCGCCTTATGAGAAGTATCCCAACAGTCCTGGCAGCTGCTTTCACAGCTCATTCACAGCCGCTTAAGTCAACTGTCTGGAGAAGGATGGAGCTAGGCTCTTTACCTGGATCAGGCGATGGCACCCAGAACTGAATTCTGCTTCCTACCATCGGGTTCATCCCCCTTAAATTTTTTTTTTTTTTTAACATATCAAAGGGGGTTGGGGGGGGGGTGGACCTTACCAAAATAAAGTTGGTAAAAAGCCTTAAAAATATGGCAAACAAAATGCTTACAAACCAAATACAGGTATCTCTACTCAATTGGAGTTGACTATCCTTTATTATATACCACAATGCAGAATGTCTTCTGGGAAAGCAGTATATGCAAATTTTAAATCTATCAGAATAAAGACTACAACCTTTTTTTGAAGTCACATACATTTAAAAAAAAAAATATTTTTAGGCAGCCCTACAGCCTGTGGGATCTTAGTTCCCTGATCAGGGATGGAACTTGTGCCTGCTGCATTGGGAACATGGAGTCTTAACTACTGGACGGCCAGGGAAGCCCTTAAAAGCCACATAACAAACAAAAACCTCATGTGTTAAGGAAAGCCAAGATTTTGATCTATTCTTGACTTGGGCTTATCCTCTGAGAGTATAATGGGGGCTGAAGTAAACTGCATACCACCATGGGATGTGGTTGAGCTGAATGAAAATCCCCAGCATCAGGTATCTTAAGCATTACAGTAAGAGCTAGAGACGAGCAAAGTGTTATTTAATAGTCTGCACATCTAACCACAATTTTAGGCAAAATCTCTTTATGGCACTAATTAGAGTCCGTCCCTCTTAGATCAAGCAGTCATATCCCTTCCATTTGCTTTCCTGTCCAAAGAGGTGCTATTACTTTCCCTTCACCTCATAAGGAAACCCCCAAAAACGAACATCATTAGTACTTACATTCAAAGCATTCTTGGCAGCTTCTGCTTCTGAGCGACTGTCAAAACTGACAAAACCTACGGGCTAAGGAAAGAAAGAGAAATATGAAGAAAAAAATATCAGGGGATGTCTTTGTTTCTGGGTCAAAGGTGACATCAAACCAACAGAGCTCAGATAAAGAAATGACCGCAGGCAATGGGTAGAAATCAGAAAGCCAGTTCAGAAGAATCATGACTCAGTGGCTTAGCCAAATTTCTAACATGGATCAAAGGGATGGTGAGGGTGGTTCTTCAAGGGACAGCTGGAGATTTAGGGAATCATTTGGGAAAAAAAAAAAGTCTAGAAGGGGCTGGAAGGTGAGCAGCAGTGAACAAGGGAACAGAGGAAAACTTGGGTGGAGAGGCTCTACTGTCCTAAATCGAATTCACTGTACCTCAGTATCTTCATCTTTTAAAATTGAAAGAGAACCGAATCACCTTTTGGTACACTGTAAGTGCAAGGAATACAATGACACAGTGATAAAAGCCCTGTAGTCTCACTGCATGATCAAAATTATATAATGAACATTTTAATCTCAAATCCCAAGGGACGCTTTTAAAACGTTCTGTGTTTAACTAGGTGTGTAAACCATACTGTCCCAACTAAAGAGAGTGCTCCTAATTGCTTTGGACTCAGTATCTTAAGAGTCCAGAAGGATGGTTGCAACATAGCTTATTCCTGATGAACCAGAGAATATCGTATTGAGACGAAAAGTGACCCAAAGTGAGATGTTGGTTGCTCAGGATTAAAAAAAAAGCACACAGCTAAAAAATTTCAAGGCACTTGAAGCCGCTATCAGGTTCACTGATTACTACTTCCATTCTGTACCTGTGCCTTTTATGGTCCATTCTAGATTTAAGACTCTACATGTGGTTATTAAGGGTTTGAGAGAGAGCCTGATTCTTTACCATCAACTTCTCATACCGACTGTGAATGAAAAGTCCGACTATGTAACTTTATTAAAAAACAAAAACAAAACAGGAAAGAATTGGCAGTAAAAGTGAATCTGGACAATAATTTCTTTTGAAGATACAGATCAATTCCAATAGAACCATGCTGGAGGCATTATATTTGCCTTCCTTGAGGATAGTCTCAGATACTCTAAGCTGGAGGCTTTGGAATTAGGAATGATTTTCCTCTGCTAATTCCTAATCGATCTCACCCTTAATTTTAGAGCAATAAAAAAAAATTAAATCTTAATGAAAATTTTAAAAAAAGGATGTTGAGCCCTTGTGACATTCCTGAGGAAAGTCAATCCAAACTTATTCTAGAAGTGATCACTAATGTGCAAGTTTGAAATGCTTACCTGCTTAGATGTGAGCTTTATAAGAGAACCCTCGTAGCCCTGAAAATAAAGAACCGGATTTAGACCACAAAAAAAATATGCCAGGAAAAAAAGCAATTGTAATATCATCTTGCTCAAGTGACAGTGAGTCCTTTATGACCACTGACTAACTCATCTTACAAATGTTTGTTAACTATAAAACAAGCTTTATACACACACACACAGGATGTATATGCCTAGGTATGTAAATATGTGCTGTGTGCTTAGTCGTGTCTGATTCTATACAGCCCCCTGGACTGTAGCCCAACAGGCTTCTCTGTCCATGGAATTTTCCAGGCAAGAATATTGGAGTAGGTTGCCATCTCCTAGTCCCGGGGATCTTCCTGACCCAAGGATAGAGCCCAAGTCTCCTGCATCTCCTGCATGGTCAGGTGATTTACCACTGAGCCACCTGGAAAGCCCATACTTGGGCCTGAAAGAGACCAAGCCCTGAAACTCACGCTCTCGTTTCTTTTCTGTGTTCTTATGAAATTGGGAAATAGTAGGAAAATGGTATCTATGTCAACAGCAGGTCGTTCTCATTTTATAGGATAAAAGGCACTCCACTCCAGTATCCTTCCGTGGAAATTCCATGGGCAGAGGTGCCTGGCGGGCTACAGTCCATGGGGTCGCAAAGAGGTGGACACAATTAAACGACTGAGCAGAGCACAGAAGAAGAAAGGGGGTCAAGAAGAGTATGTGATGACTTGTTCACACTGAAAAATACATTGGCTATAGAACAACAGCAAAACACTGATAATGGACTTGGAAGAACTTGTCAATGAAAAATTGCCTGGAAAAGTTAAACAGGCAGCAATGCTAAATTCTTGTTATTTTGCTTATTTATTGCAGCCATCTGTTTTCATGCTGGTACTAGGATTGAGAGATGCAAAAATTCCCTGTTGGGTTTTACTTCTGCTCATCCTCAAGGAAGATGGAAACACTCCCTCCCTTTCTGATCCCTCCTGGTTCCCCAGGATGAAGATAACAAAGTCTGCTTATTTCTGAAAGTAATCAATGGCAGGTGGCTTGCACTGTTAGAAGACACAGGAGAAGGAAAAAAAAAACAAAACCCACCACTTGACATGATTGACCACAGCACATATTGGTCCAGGGACAGATCTGCAGACGAGGGTCAGCCACCAGGGACTTTAATTAAAAAAGGGTTGGTAGGAATGTACCAGGGTCCTGACTTTCGCGTTGGGGTTTCTGGGCAGCATGTTTCAATTGATTCACCCTCCTATCTTCCCAGCAGAGAACTATGTTATCAATTAGCTACTGTAAACATTTTACCTCAAAGGCCTTGAGCTCTTCTGGCCCAAGAGGTCATGATTCACAGCCCTGCCTCTTACTTGTTCAAAGTGCTCTCTGAAAAACGTGCAGGTTTAAACACCCCGAAGGCCTCAGAGGCAGAGGACAAATGGATATTTCACTCAAGTAAAAGCCCACTTATAGGGATATACTGTCCTCTCAAGACACAGAAATCAGAAGCAGCATCACATAGTAGTTCAGAGTAGGAATGGCAGAGTCAAACTGCTTGGGTTCCATCCTGGCCCTGCCATTTATTGTGTGTGTGAACTTGAGCAAAATGTATTCAACAGCTCCAAGTTTCATTTTCTCTCTTTGGAGGGGGCAGGAAAAAATGAGGCTAACCCACTTTAAAGGACTGTGATGAGAATTAAGTGAGATAATTCTTAAGGGGCTCACTACTAGGTCTCTCCATATGCACACAGGAACACGGCTGTTTTGTTCATTAAGAGGAATGGTTAGCTTAAAAAGCCCTCATCCTACAAAACTGAAAAACTGCAATCCTGCAGAAGAAACGGGAAATTCTGCCAAGTTGGCACTCTTCCCACAGCACCTTCTCTTTCTTCCCCACTTTCTCTAGCCAACCTCTCAGCTAACCTTTCATGTTTCCCTCTGTAACGTCATCATTACTGTTGCATTAAAAGGAGAGCTGTCTTATATACACCACCGTATGTAAAACAGGTAACTAGCGCGAAGGGAGCTCTGTGATGGGAAGATGAAGTTCAAGAGGGAGGGGATATATGCATATATAATGCTGATTCTTGATGCTATACAGTAGAAACTAACAATGCTGTGAAGCAATTATACTCCAATTAAAAAAAAAAAACAGCAGAAAAAAGGAGAGCTGTCAGAATGGAGTTACGTCCATTATCACCTGGTGCCTTTGGGGCACATAAGCTAGACCATTTTATCTTTGTTGGTTTTCACTGGCTGCCCCCTCGACTGTCTTTCTTCCTCTCCTACCCAGCTGTTTTCAGCTGTCACATTTACTCTCTCACCCTAAGAAGCTAGAACCTGTCTTGCCTCTGTGGCTTGGACCCTGCTTCCATCAGAATGGATCTTTAATTGGCAATCAAGACGGTCCCATCACTCAGTCCTAAGCACAGCCCTGGCCAGACACTGCTGCTGACATATCCTCAGCTGATGTGACTGGCTCAGACACAGGCCCTGAATCAGCCCTGACCTGCAGGATTGCTCCTTGACAGCCAAGGCCTCCAGCCCACACTGCGCCCAACTCCAGCTGTCTCTGACCCTCCAACGGCTAACTTTCAAGGTTTCTCTGTGCAGCACGGTTATGTCAGCCTTGCTTCAATTTCCTGTTAAATTTTCAATCCCAACGTTAACAATCTCCAAAGTAAATTTATCTTGATCACCACAATGGACAGAGAACTTGTATTAAATATTTCACCAGGTAGCACAGTGGTAAAGAATCCCCTGGGCAACACAGGAGACTTAAGGGATGCAGGTTCGATCCCTGGGTTTGGAAGACCCCCTGAAGAAGCAAAGGGCAACCCACTCTGGTATTCTTGCCGGAAAGTTCCACGGACAGAGGAGCCTGGGGAGTTACAATCCATGGGGTTGCAAAGAGTCAGACACAACTGAGATTTAGCACGCAGAAGGCACCAGGGAAGATGTCCGTCAACTCTTACCAAGCAGTTCTTTAAAATCCTGTTTCACTGTTTCAGCAACGTTGGACATTTTGCCAACGAAAAAACAATGGTGTTAGGTTCTCTGTCAAATTCATAAAAGCTTATTTAACCTATTATGTCTCCTAGGAATTGTATGAACAGCAGTATTTCAGCTAATAAAGAACCTCCTAGGGGTAGGACTTGACTTATACTCCTGCATTTGAGATATAAATACATGGTTAGTCACTGATCATATCTGGGGTGATCTGTACTCAAATTACCCCCAATTGGCAGAGGATACACAGGGAGGAAACTGAGGCTGTTCTAAATGAGGACAGATTAGCTTCTCAAGATCAGCGGCTAGGAGGACAAAAGGCCATTTCAGTATTTCCAAAGTGAGAATGTGTATTAGAACTGACTTGTTAAATCTTCTTTACTCACTAACCACTTTAAAAAACAGGCGTTTCTCAAACATTTCATTTCTTTCTCCAGACAGACCCACTTTCTGATGCCCTTTATGATTTCTAAAAGATAGAAAAGGTACCTTAAATGGTCTGAAAAGCAGATAAAGCTCCCGAGGTTTGATGTCCAGAGGGAGACCACTGACAAAGAGAGTCCGGACCTGCAAAACAAACATGAGAAGCGATCAAGGGGGACAGTCATAGAACAGCTCACTTGAAACCAAAAAAAACATGTTTCTTCAGATATTCCACAACTCCTACCTAATTCATGATCTTTTTATGACACAGTGACTAATGTTAAGATGCTCTTAAGCCAACTCTTAAATAGTTCTGTGTGAATTATCAGAGTGGATCACTTCTAGCCAATTTAAATTTACAAACTGACCTCTCCTTTCCTCGCCATTGCCTGGTTCTAAGAATGTGAGGGGAAGAGAGGGTCCATAATTAAAATGTTAGCTTAAGGGGGGAAAAAAGTGTCATGGGGATAGTAAATCTACCACCCCTCTGCTGTGATCAAAGGAACACAAACGTGGTTCAAAAACAATTGAAAAAAAATTTTTTAATCGTAAATTATTTTTAATTGCAGGGTAATTGCTTTACAATATTGTGTTGGTTTCTGGCAAACATCAACATGAATCAGCCACAGTTACATGTATGTCCCCTTGCTCTTGAACCTCTGGGGAAAAAAATTTTTTTTTTAATTTTTTATTTTTAAAATTTCTTGTCTGCGCCTTGTGGCATGTGGGATCTTAAGTTCCCGGACCAGGGAATCAAACCCTGCATTGGAAGTGTGAAATTTTAACCTCTGGATTGCCAGGGAAGTCCCAAAACAATTTTTGTTTTCTTCTACTTGTCATTGCTTTCTTCATCAGCATTATTAGTTATAGCAAGTTTAGTAAGTGAAGAAGTTTATTAAACAACTGAAATTCATCTACGTATCAATAGTAACCAAATGAATAGCCCTTTGTCTGTTCAGTTCCGGAAAAGCAGGACAGATGTGGCCAACCTATACATACCCATAAGGCCCAGGGTACAAAAAATGTACTTAATGTGTGCTGAACACAGAACACAGGGACATTTCCAACTGGGAGGATCAGAGTATGTTTACTCAGAGTATGCTGGCATCTGCATGGAATGTCCTTCAAGGACAGGTGTGAATTTGCCACACAGATATATAAAGGGCGAGGTGGGGGAAAGCACAGGCAGAAAAGCAGCATTAACCAGTTTACGAAGCAGGGGATAGCAGAGTGCGTTCCGGGAGAAGGGCCAGCCGAAACTGAACGGGAAATGGAGGCTCAAACCACAAAGACAGCAAGTCATCAGCACAGGAATACGGCCTTAATTCAATAAGCAAGCGGTCCAAACATGGACCACAGCCTTGTCCAACTCAATGAAACTAAGCCATGCCGTGTAGGGCCACCCAAGACGGACGGGTCTTGGTGGAGAGCTCTGACAAACTGTGGTCCACTGGAGAAGGGAATGGCAAGCCACTTCAGTACTCTTGCCTTGAGAGCCCCATGAATCGGCAAGTAGTCACCACTGAATTCTCATCACCACAATTTGTTTCTATTTAGTATGTTTTTTAAAACCTTATTTGAAACTTGTTAAGAAATACATATACACATTTTTTATCTTTAAAAAAGTTTTGAAGTAATTTTATTGGGGTATACTTGATTTACAATGTTGGGCTAGTTTCTGCTCTACATCAAAGTGAATCAGTTATATACAAACATTTATCCACTGCTTTTTAGATCCTTTTCTCATATAGGCCATTATAGAGTGCTCAGTAGAGTTTCCTGTGCTATTATTGAGTCTTATTAGTTACCTACTTCATTTTTCATTTTATCACTTCTCATAGGAGTGTGTATATATCAATCCCAATCTCGCTATTTATCCTTCCCACCCCCTCCCCCTCTTGGTAACCATACGTTTGTTTTCTATATTTGTGACTCTGTTTTATAAATAAGTTCATGTAAGCCATCTTTTAGATTCTATGTAAGTGATATACGATATCTTTCTCTGACTTCACTCAGTATGACAAAGGAACACGTATACNGGAGTGTGTATATATCAATCCCAATCTCGCTATTTATCCTTCCCACCCCCTCCCCCTCTTGGTAACCATACGTTTGTTTTCTATATTTGTGACTCTGTTTTATAAATAAGTTCATGTAAGCCATCTTTTAGATTCTATGTAAGTGATATACGATATCTTTCTCTGACTTCACTCAGTATGACAAAGGAACACGTATACAATGGAATATTAATTACTCAGCCACACACACACAAAAAGAAATAATGTCTGTTTTGTGTGCCTTTACTAAGTTCCCTGCTCCCCGAGCTTTGAGATACAGCTGACATGCAACATTAGGATGGACCTCACCACCATCAAATCACATAACTACCATTTCTTTTTCTGTGGTGGGAACACTTAAGATCTACTCTCAGTAACTTTCAAGTACACCTATAATACAGTACCACGCATTACGTTCTCCAGAACTTATTCAATTTCTAACTGAAGTTTGTAACCTTAGACCAACATCTCCCCATTTTCCTCACCCACCAGCTCCAGGTACTAACCATTCCACTCTGTTTTTATGAGTTCAATTTCACTTTCACATTTTCTATTCTTCTTCTCTACTCAAGCTGATATGACATGATTGAGTTCCTCATTAGAAATCAAGTTACTTACTAAAAACAATACCAGTGATTAAATGTAAACCATGTACAACTATGGAAGATTTTTCCTCAGTGAGAAATAGGAGAATATCTTCTAGAATCCTAACACTTTCCATTGACTCTGGCTTGAAGGAGCACAAAGCGGCAAGCAGGACCCTTTTGCTAACCCAGCAAAGTATATGGGAAAATGTCATGCCATTTACATGAAGGTGTGTAATAAACATGATGATGAAGTAAACAGTCGTGGAATCAAGAATGCCTATCATCTGTTTATATTTTAAACAGCTTTACTGAAATATAATTGACATATAACTAAACATCTTGTTTACAAGTTTTGATATATGTTTAACCTATGAAACTAATATTGTTTTCATAACAATCGAGATAATGAACAAACTCATCACAACCCTGTGATGTTTCCTTCTCTCATGGCTCTGTAATCTTTCATCTTTATCCTTAGGCCATTACTCATCTGTCACTATAGACGAGTATGCATGTTCTAAAGTTTTATACAAATGGAACCGTAAAGTATGTGTCCGTTTTTGTCCAACTTCTTTCACTTTAAAATAATTAGAGATTCATCCTCGCTGCTGCACGTGTCAAAAGGCACGTGTCAAAAGGCTATTTTTGTTTCTGAGCAGTATTCTGTGGTACGAATACATCACAGTTCATTTATCCATTCACTTGTTTTTAAGACATACAAGTTATCTCTAGTTTCTGGTTTTTACAAATAAAAAGACTATGAACATTCAGGTATCAGTGGGTACAAGTCTTTGTAGGGACCTATGCTTTCTTTTTGGATAATTAGGTAGAAATGGAATAGGTGGATGATACGGTAGGAATATACTTAAAACATTTAAAAAAAAATTTTTTTTTTTTAAGGGCTTCCCTGATAGCTCAGTTGGTAAAGCATCCACCTGCAATGCAGGAGACCCTGGTTCAATTCCTAGGTCAGGAAGACCTGCTGGAGAAGGGACAGGATACCCACCTCCAGCATTCTTGGGCTTCCCCCGTGGCTCAGCTGGTAAAGAATCCACCTGCAATGCAGGAGACTTGGGTCCTATCCCTGGGTTGGGAAGATCCCCTGGAGAAGGGAAAGGCTACCCACTCCAATATTCTGGCCTGGAGAATTCCATGGACTGTATAGTCCATGGGGTTGCAAACAGTTGGACACTGAGTGACTTTCAAACTTTTAAGAAACTACCCTCTTCAATTCCTTGTTCTGTGGCCTAGAACATGATAAATATTGAATGTAGAACAGATGTATATTCTGTTGCTGTTGTGTATAGTGTTTTATAAATTTCAATTAAGGTCAAGTTTGTTGTTCAATGTACCTTTTGTCTCTCCCTTCTCTCTCAACTTTGCCAGTGATAAACACTCTTTCCAAAGAAATGGGTTTTTTGGTTTTCTTCTTGGCTATGCAGCATGTGGGATCTTATTTTCCTGACTGGGGATTGAACCTGTGCCTTCTGCAGTGGAAGCACAGAGTCTTAGCCACTGGATTGCCACGGGAATACTCTAAAGAACTTACTTTATCAAAGCTGCTCAGACAGACTGACTGACAACTGCCAAAGACAGTCAAAGGAATCCTGCCACCCCGTGTGCCCTCCCTGCGACCCACACCCCCTTCCCACATTCCAGAAAGTGAACACCATCTGTTCTACTTGGCCGCCCTGGCCAGGACAATCTGGACAGAGGGAATTCCAGCCTCCACTCATTCATATTTTGTTGAGTGCCCATTGTGACTAGCACTATGCCAGGTGCTGACCAAATTATAGAGATTTCCATGGAAATAATAATAAGCAGATGCTGTGTTGTAAACACTAGAGCACCGTTTGTCCAGCTGGGAAGCTTAGCCATGTGACAGGTATCAATTAGGACCTGGGAGTTAACTCAGGAAATGAACTACCATTTATAGCACTAATCTAAAGAAAGAGGCTTTAGAAAGTTGTAAGTCAAACAATTTATCCAAAAAAAAGAAAAAAATCCCCCACTGGAAATCTGGGAGTTGTCAACAAAATACTACTACTTGATATAAATTAAGGTTTATCTACACCCACTGAATATATTATTATGCAACCAATAAAAATTATGTTCAAGGAAAAAGTACATTCAGTTTTATTTATAAAGCAAAAAGCCAACATATGTATGTATATGGATGGGGGTAAAAATACCTTATAGGATACATATGCTTAATAAGCAATTTTTTTGGGGGGTTGCACTGTGTGGCAAGTGGGATCTTAGTTCTGGGAACAGGGGTCAAACTCATGCCCTCTGCAATAGAAGCACGAAATCTTAACCTCTAGACCACTGCAGAAGTCCTAATAAGTGCTTTTACTGTTTTTAATGAGCACATTTGTATTTTCTATCTTTCTATAATAAGCAAGTTTTATAGTTTATTATTAGGTTGACAATAGCCTAGATTGTTTTTTATTACTTTGCTCTATTTAGAAAACCATACATAATGTCAATATTTGGATCA